CTCACGAGGAATCGGTAAACATCGTCTGCCGAGTCAGCGGGACAGTATTCTTCTTGTGTGATGCGGCCTCTGGTGAGACCGTACCCGCGCATGTCGACGCCGATGAGGTTGAACGAGTATCTGAGTTGCGGGTCGGAGAATTGAGCTGTGGAGTGTACGTTCTGTGTTCAGTGATGCGCGTCGGGGACGGGAGGGGGAGATCGTCGTTACCCTCGAAGGCTTCGTGGCCTGAATACCCGGAGTGGAGGAAGAGGATACAGGGGAGGTGAGGGACGATGCCGGAGGTGCTGGAGGGGTTTGTGGGCGTCGCGATCGAGTAGTGGAGTTCGATGGGTCCGGTGGGCGTGTCGACGTCGACGTGGGGCATTGCGGGGCGCGGATACGAATAGGCTAAGGATAGATATGTGATAGTGGTAGTGGTGGTATGCGATTGAAAATGTCTACATACATATATATATTTATCGGACGTAAAATTATACTCGTGCGGGAGAAGCCCATATGTATTTATGGGGTGATGAGAATCTCGTGCCTTTTTGGAGAGAGGACTTGTGACAGTTCCGAGTTGAAATTACAAGTCAATGTCTCTGAGGCTGTGAGAACAACCCGGAACCGTCGCGATGTAGTCAATGAATGACTGATAACGGCACAGCACAAGCATCGTTCACGATGGCTAGAACACAAATGATCATGAAAGGTTCTTGGCCTCTGCGGCCAAGCTACATGTTGAATCACTCTGGGTCTCCGGAAAGATGGATGGTTACCGCAAAGTTGAGAATAGAGGGAACTTTATGTAGCTCGTGTATCCAGGCCCTTTCAGAGGTCGGAGAAAATCGTTACTACGTTGGCAAAAAACACCGGATTCCAAGTGGGGTTAAATTGGAGTCGGTTTCTATTGGCGCGTTGAGTACATATATACAAGCATCAGTGGTGTAACGGTAACATTGGGTCTTCCCATAATCTTATCTGGCCTAGCCCCGGGTTCGACTCCCGGCTGATGCATTTCTTGAAACGATTTTTACCTTTTCAGTCTCGGGCTCTTTGCTCTTTTTAAATAGATGCATGTACAAAGAGCCATCAACAATGTGTTGCGCCACATAGGGTATTACTGCAATTCAAGGCTACAGAACACGCATCCTATATTGCTGGCATCGACTCGCGACCCCACCTCAATGACTCTTATCCACCTTTGCTCGCCTCTTTGCGCGCGCAAAGATCCCCACTTCCTTGTCGCGGATGAAATTGACGATGACCATGGGCCAGGACGGGTGGGACGGGAGGACGTCATAAAACTCTGGTGCGAGGGCACGGAGGGCAGGCAGGCGTGTCCATGGCACGGAGGGGAAATCATGGTGCTCGTTATGGTATCCGACCTGAGTGTGTGTGTGGTGAGTAGGAAAGATGAGGATGACAAGAACGCACGTTGTAGGCGAGGAGGTTGAGGGGACCGTAGTAGCTGAATGTTTCTTGGTGCATGCGGTCCCAGAGGTAGTGCTCTGCGATAAAGTGGGCTGCGCAGGGGTGGAGGCTGCCTGCGAAGAAGCTGCTTAGGAGGAGGTAGATGAGGGGACGGGGGCCGAGGGAGTGGAGGAGAGCGTAGTTGAAGAGGAGCTGGACGAGGAGGTTGAGGATGTGCCATTTTGTGAGGCGCTGGGAGCGGACGAAGCCGGGGCGGAGGGCGTAGAAGAAAATTTGGAAAGTGCTGGGGTCGGGGTGAGAGTGGGGAGGGGGGAGGGGAGGGGTACGTACGCGAAGAAGACTTTGCCGAGGACGTTGTTGAGGCAGAGAAGCTCGAGGCGGGTGGGGAGGTCGGTGTCGATGCCGTCCTGGCCGAGGAACTTGTGGTGCTCGATGTGGTAGCCCTTGAAGGCGGCAGAGTAGGGGACGGCGATGGGGAGGTTGGCAAAGATGGCGAGGAGGCGGTTGGGGACGATGGCGCGGAAGGCGAGGTTGTGGGTGATCTCGTGGATGGCGAGGAAGAGGTTGTGGTTTGCGGTGCCACCGACGGCGTAGGCAGCCAGGAGGAAGGCGGGGGAGAGGGGGTGGGTGTGGCGGAGGAGGACGGCGAGGGCGAGCTGGACGCAGACGACGGCGAGGACGAGGTATTTGGTGAGGGGCTCGTGGCCCATGAGCCGTGTGACGTCGGGGTGGGCCTTGATGATGGCCATGCGGCGCGTGCGGTGGGGCTCCTCGGTCATGAGCCACAGAAAGTCGGACGGGTCCTGCGGCGGGCCCTCGCACGCGCTGCCAGGCGACGTGCGGCGCGGCGACTCGTGGCGGCTCAAGTCCATGGTGAACAGCATCACGTGCAGGAAATAAATGGCAAGTGGGCAGCGTCACGTGCAGGAAATAAACGGCAAGTGGGCCCACTCGCAGGCATCTTTTGCGCCGCCATGTCAGACCCGCTCAGCTTTCTGCTCTGGCCCGAGCCCGACAAGTGCGACTTTATGGACTACGCCGTCGAGCCCAGTGCACTGTCGTTCTACGACCCTGCTGCGCTGTTTCCGTTCACGTTCGACCCGGGCTCCCCGTCCGACTCTTCCTCGTCGCTGCAGTCCAGCTCGAGTGGCCGCAGACTGAGCACGTCCTCGTCAGCGTCTTCGCTGTCGCCTGCCCCGCCCGCCGAGTCCGACGCAGCAGCCCTCCTCGCTGAACGCGTCCGCCAAAGCGCCGGCGTCATGCTCGCCCTCCCAATGCCACTCCCGCTCAACCCCCAGCCACCCCCGCTGCCCCCCAAGCTCCCCATCCCCCGTCTCCCACGCCCCGTCTCCCAGCCTCCCAGCTCCTCCGCCGCCTCGACCCCGCCTCCCTCCACGCCCGCCGCAGCCCCCACGCCAAGCCCCCAGCCCCGCTCCAAAACAAGCCACACCACCATCGAGCGCCGCTACCGCACCAACCTCAACGCCCGCATCCAGAGCCTCCGCATGGCCGTCCCCGCCCTCCGCGTCGTCGACGACCGCGACCCCACCAAGAACCGCGCCCCAAACAAGGTCCTTGTCTCCGCCGACCCCCCGAGGCCCTCCACCCTCGGCGACGACGTCGTCGACGAGCGCGGCTTTGTCGATGGCGTCAAGGTCGCCAGGAAGTGCAGCAAGGCAAATGTCCTCGGCAAGGCCGTCGAGTACATCCGTGTCCTCAAGAGGCGCGAGGCCAGGTTGAAGAACGAGCAGGCCGGCTTGAAGTCTTTGGTTGCCGGCCTTGTCGGTGGGCCCGCCCTCTTGAAGGAGTGGGAGCGCGAGTGGAGGGAGATGTTTGGCGGCGAGGAAAAGGATGAGGTCGATCCCGAGGCCGAGGCCGATGATGATGACGACGACGACGACGACAACGACAACGACGACGACGGGGGCAGGAAGAGGAAGAGGAGCAAGGTGGCCCACGTCAAGCCCGAGAAAAATGTCGTGTCCAGTCCGGATGGCACCGTGCCTGAGAAACGCAAGCGTGGCCGCCCGAGGAAGGTCGTCCCTCCGCCTACCGTTCCAGCAGAGCACCCACAGCAGTACCTCCTCGCGACGTTTGCCCTCTTTTCGTTCTTCAACTCCCCGCTTACGTCCTTTTCAACCGTGCATGTACATACACACACCGGCACCGTGCTCAACGGCTCACCAGGTCCCCTCGCCACGGACAACACACGTCTATCGTATTGGCTACACCTACTCCACCTCCTCGTCTCTACCCTCATCCTCGTCCGCTGCGTCTCCAGCTGGGCAGGCATCAAGTTCAACCTCAGCCCATCCATATCCATCCTCACCGCGCTCAGTCGCACAGCACAAAATCACAAAGACGCGGACACGGAGAAACGTACACTAACACACTGGATCCGTCTCGCCGAGTCGTTTGTCTTTTCACGTACGTCTCTTTCCTTGCTTGCTTCTCAACATCGAGGACTAACTCGTCCCTCACACAGCCCACACGCATCGCACCCTCCTCCCGCGCGTCCAGGCATACCACCGCATCACGACCGAGCCCAGCGCGTCGCCCTCTGACATGTGCACGGCCCTGCTTGCGCTGTACGGGTGCGGGACGCCGCTTGGCGGGATCGCGCGTGCGAGGGCGAGGAAGGTGTGGAGGGAGTGGTTGGGAGTGGGGGGAAGGGAGTATGAGCGGTTGGTGTTTGAGATGGGCGTGGATGAGGCTGTGGGTTGTGTTGGGGTTTTCGGCGCTGGCGCTGGTGTGCGTGTGCGTGGTGAAGATGGAGATGGAGACTGGACGCCGATGCGCGTGTTGGGGACTATGATTGTGATGCGGCGGATGCGTGCGTGTTTGGGGGGTTGGTTTGTGGGTGTTGTGTGTGGGCGTGACGGTGGCGGTGACGGCGACGGCGGCAAGGGCGAGGGTGGGGAGAGGGAGTACAGGAGGACTGTTGAGGCTGCGAGGGAGCTCGGGGGGTACGTTGGTGAGCTTGGGAGGAGATTCGAGAGGTTGTTGTGTGGGGCGGGGGCGGGAGGTGAGCTGCGGGAGCTTGGTGAGGAGGAGGAGGACGATGGGGTTGGGGCGTTGATGGATGCGGTTGTGTTGTATCGGAGGGTGTTTGGGGGTGCTGGTGCTGATGGGAACGCGGTGTCGGTGTCGATGCCGCCGAGTCCGCCGCCGAGTCCGGGGAGGAAGGCGATGGTCAGGGCGAGGGTGAGAGATGAGGATGTGGGGAGGCTGAGGAGGGCGTTGGGGTCGAGAGTGTTTGAGGAGACTGAGGCGTTGGAGGACGCGAGGGATAGAGCGGTGGATAGGGTTGTTGAATTTGAGAGGTGGAGTATGGGTCTGAGGCATGAGGTTTGAGGCGCTGTGTGGTGTTTTTTGTTTTTTTATCGAGTTGAATATCCGACTTTTTTTTTTTGGTTTATACCGTACGTTGCTTACTAGCTCAGTTATATTTATGTATATTCCGAGTGGAGATTTACACGACTGGCTATATATAGGGATAGGATGAGTGTGGCGTCAATGCTGTCCGTTCACCTGTTCTGGGATCCCAAAGCAACACAGCCAGCGCAACGCAACGGAATGAACAAGGCCGCCTGGCGAAATGGCATCGCGTCTGACTACGATCATAAACGCATTGAGACAGGTAATCAGGAGATTGCAGGTTCGACCCCTGCGGTGGTCATTTTTTGGTTGTTTCTATGGATGGATGGATGGATGGATGGATGCCTTGCTTTGCTTTCCTTTTCCTTTTCCTTTCCTTCTCTGTCTTTCATTTGTTGATCACGCTCACCGCTGATACGTACGTCATGTACTTGCTAATGAGTACAAGGCCGCCTGGCGAAATGGTATCGCGTCTGACTACGATGGAAGAGCTAACAATGTTATCAGGAGATTACAGGTTCGACTCCTGCGGTGGTCAATGCAGGCTTGAGTGTTGTATTTTTTCTGTATGGGTGCTCGTTTGTGTAATGTATCTATGTATGTATAACCTTGTTATATGTGCCCCACATGATCTAACATGCGAGCAGGCCTAATGTAAGGCCGCCTGGCGAAATGGCATCGCGTCTGACTACGATACAAAGTGGTTCATACGGTTGTAATCAGGAGATTGCAGGTTCGACCCCTGCGGTGGTCATTATTATTTCTTTGAACTTTCGTGATTTTTCGGTTTTTTTGTGGTCTTTTTTTTTCTTTTTTCTTTTTTGGTGTTTATTTGTACTTGGGTATTTGTTATCGATGATTTGAACTGTACGATACCGTAAACCAAACCGTAAACCGTGAACTGTAAACTGTAAACTGTAAAGTCGCCTGACCCACGCGAAATCAGAGCTGAGTAGAACTACCTGCGTTAGGGACGTTCAACGACAATCGTGATCGCGTATAGCATCTCTGAGGGTATGTACAAAATCAACGTTATCTAGGCTCCTCCTGGGTACACGCATCAGTTTCTCATATAATATGGGCCGCCTGGCGAAATGGCATCGCGTCTGACTACGATGCAGATCCACTATTGTAATCAGGAGATTGCAGGTTCGACCCCTGCGGTGGTCATTACATATTGTAGTAGCTAACTTTTTTATTTATCTAGGCAAGTCGGACTCGGACTCGGTCTCGGACAAGAAAGTTCTGTGTCCACCAATTTTTTTTTTCTTCAAAGGCTTAGTGGATCAAGTATTACATTCCCATTCCTTGTTAACATTAACGATCTATTTGTATTCAACTTCAACGACGATGCGTTTGGAATCGAAGGAATAAGGATGAAAGGCAACCTCGAAGTATATATACCAACAGATGGTGACCCCGCGATGGCAACATCCGCATCCGCATCAGCATGACTCATCGACACTTTGGGACTTTGGGACTTTGGGATCGGGACGACCACCGGGACGGGATCACACACACAAGGAGAAGAAGAATTGCGCAAATCTATGGAAATTCAGCCCTTGGTCATAATTGTGATATTTCGGTCTTGGTATAGATGTGTATGGAATCCGCAGGGATGGTAAGCACTTCTGACGGCCGCCTCAATCAACCGTGCATGCCAACAATAGGCATTGAGCGTCGAACGACAACACGTCCCGAAAGCCCAGCTGATCTTCCGTAAACTGTGTCGCATGAGTTCTTTGCATTGAATTCTCATCTCTCCTCTCTTGGACGTGGTTCTCACCCCTGCCTCAGCAACCGATATGTGTACATACATCAGTCTGACGCACCTATAACGGCCGCCTGGCGAAATGGCATCGCGTCTGACTACGATTAATACTTCCAACAGTGTTTACATGTTATCAGGAGATTGCAGGTTCGACCCCTGCGGTGGTCATTTTTGACGTACATCGTTCATTCTATGTATATTCTTCATTTTTAGACTTATCCTTTCCCAGAAATCTTTGAGCCTCGCAGCAAACAAGAACAAGTTGATGAACTTTGGTGCTTGTACCTCACCAAACAGCACTTTCGAACTCTTAAATTCAAGAAATGGAGATAAAAGAGATGGGAATGCAAATACTATTATCTGGTGAACGTAATACTCTGTGTGCATGGACAGGTATAGACAGCAAAATGTTGAGTATATACGAACAAAAACAGGAAAAGCCTTCATTACGGCTGCCCCATTTTTACCCTTCTGCCTCTTGCCTGTTTTCTGCGAGGTTTCTTTGACGCCGGATCCCTATCGTCCACACCAAAAGCATCGTCCGCTCCAAACCTATCTCCAACCATCTCACCTCTGTCCCGCTTCGAAGGTACCTGAACCCGGTCACTCAATGATCGGGAAACCGTCTCTTCCTGCATATCGTTCCCAACAGCAGACATCTCCAGTCTCTCCAGCAAAGACCCAGGGCGCCGTGTCATCTCTGTTCTGTTGTCCGGACGCCGCTTCCTTTCCGAGTATTCGTCACGGCCAACTTTTGAATGCAGCTGTGGCGGCACATCCATGTCCACATTAACATTATAATTGTCATCCCGATGCGACATGTCCAATTCGCGAGGAACATAAGATTCAGATGAATCATGAGAAGATTCCTGTTGATGGCGATCGCGTATCTTCGCATCATTATCCAACATGCGTTTGCCGTACGGAGGGCCGTAAAAGTCTGACTTTCTTGGTTTGGCTCTTGCAAGGGCATCGGGTCCATGAGATTCGAAAGGAGTCCCATTGAATTGATCAGGATTTGGCGGGAGAGTCTGACGTAAAGTGACTGAGTCGTCAAAACGATCACTTAAGCGGCCTTCGAGGCCACCTCTGCGAGGTTCATTCGGCTGTCGAGCAAATCGTTCTGTCTGACGCCCCTCGGACGGAAGAGGTCGGCCCCGCGAACTTCCAGGTCGATCACGAGAATCAGGATGACGGGAATGGGGTCTACCCGTGTCCACATGCGGCGATGTCCTTGAAATTGAAGGTGAAGTGGTATGCCGATCATTGATACTTGCACCAGCATTTCCCATGAAGACTTCAGGAGGAGCTTCACCCCGAGGAGTCCATGTTCGAGCCAACTGCGAAGGCTGTGTGGATGTCGGCTAAAGCGAGTGTGTGTCAGTTACAGTACATCCTGAAATTATGGAGAAGACATACGAGAGGGCTGATTGAGAAGTGGTCCCTTTGTGGTCCACCAGCATCGATGTTGAGGGGTTGCCTCTCAAAAGGCTACAAAACCAGTAAACGATGGCATAAATTGTACTGATGCGACTACGCACAGGAAGACTGCTATCCCGTCGGCGCGGTGGTGGCCCATCACTCTCAAATTTCACAGAACGGAACCTATCTGGGTGATCGATGCCGTAACCCTAACACAAGCTTTGTCAACTACAGAAGGGAAAACAGAGGAAAGTCATACCCTGTCATACTGCAACTCTCTTGATGGATGGGATGCAGCAACAACACCAGCTCTCATGCTACCGCCGCCTCTCATCTGGCGTTGATTCATCTCGGCGATTTCAGGTACAGGTAAACCGATTGGCATGCGCATAGGTAGCCCAGAAGGACCTCCACTACCATTACCAGATTGTTTCCTATGGTTTCCGATCGGTACGGTATTCGGTCCAGAAGCGGAGGATGGTAGTGGGCGTGAATAATCGTTGAATCGCCCACGGTCTCGACGTCCCTTGAGATAAGGTCAATGATATATACCGACAAGCATTAACTGCACAATCTCTAGCACTCACCCCCCTCTCGGACATATGACCACCGCGTTCTTCCCGCCATCCGCCATTCTCCCTTACACGACCTCCCATGTGCGGCGGCGGCGATCGCTCTCGATTAGCCCCGCGCGGACCGGGGCCAAAACCCGTTTGCATCGTGGGCGATGTAATCTCAATCTGGTTGACCGAAGGATGCATCGCTCGTGGTCCACGCGGAGCATATGTCTGGCCTGAGGGGTAATTTCCAAGTCCAGTGGATTTATCCTCAGTCTCAGGCCTTCGAATGTCTATGGGAAGACCCATCGGAACCCCCGGATATCCGGACTCGCGAGCTATTTCCTCTTCGCGAGCCGCTATCTCTTTTCCCCCCTCATCTTGTGCAGTCCTGGAAAAACGCCTCGCCTGGATATTGTAGCGTACATCCTTTTTCATGAGCTCTCGCATTTCCGGGGCGAGACGCGCCAGATCAGCTACGGAATCCTCGCGATCTTGACCATTTTCGTAATTGTGACTTTGTCCGTAAGGCTGAGAGCGAGAACCCAGCGAGGCATTACCGTGTGCTAACCCCTGTATATCGCGCGATCCCATCAATGGTTGTCCATCCTGGTCGCTCAGACGAGAGAGTGAAGTAGAATGATCTTGCGAAAGGCGAATAGAACGGTCACGTGGCCGATTTGATACTTCGTGAAACTCGGCATCCTGGGGAGGCAACGGCGGCCTAGCGCGACCTAAATACAACAACCAGCAAATGAAGCAAAGGACGAAAGGCAGACAGATCCGAGGAAAGGGAAAGAGAAAGCAGACAAGACATCGGTCAAGTAGATGGGAGAGGTTGTGTAATGGTACGTACGTGTATGTTGCTCGGAGGAAGAAGCATTTTCCAGATTCTCTGATGCCTGAAACAAAGACGAATTCTCATCAAGAACTTCACGTCTTTGCTGAAGTTCGTGAGGAGGCGGAGACCTAATGTCATCAGGCACAAACGGATCATCCTCTACTACGGACCGAGGATAAGTCTGCGTTTCGACTGTCGGAAGTCGGGCAGATGGCGGGCCAGGTTGCAGTATCGATGAAGTAGCCGGCTGTCCGAATCGCGAGGGTCGGTCGCGTTTGCGTTGCGGGCGTGCCATTGATTGAGGTGATACAACGGGATGGGATATCGCTTGGTGACCTTCTTGTCCACGCGACAGCATGGGCCAATGGCGGGCATGATCTCTTGGTTCCTGATCGCGTATGTGGGTGTCACGTTTGTCTGGAGGTAGCGATCTGGTTCCTATATAATTTCAAAAAGGGATAGGCAGGAAAAGACATGGGATTCGATACAACATGCAATGAAAGAAGGTGAAGAAAGGGGGTAAAGAAAAAAATATCCATAATGAGTGTCCTTGAGTCGACAGAGTAGGAGAGGCCGAGGAAGATGGAAGATGGAATGGAGGAACAACGGCGCACGGTGAACTGCCCCAATCAGGCTTCGCAAAACAAGCCCGGGCAGAGACATCGTCTCATTCCGCCCGCGGAGTATCGACGCCACCGTGGCCGTGCCCGCATACGGAGGGAGGAGGGAGAAGGGAGGACGGGATGAGGCGGATAACGTACTGGAATCGGACATGTTTTGGCTCTCCTCGTGCACAGGCCGATTTCGTTCACGGCAACCTCTTGCATTTCCGTTTCTCGGTAGCATATGCAGTCTGTTATCGTTCAAAGGTATGTCATAAGGTGTTTCATAGTGTTGGCGTGAGTGACGGCGAGACTCTTGGTAGGTGTTACTTTGATTCCAACTGTCTCGAGCTGGATACGAGCCTGGCAATGAGTCACTATCTCTATAGATCGATGAATCTGCATCAGTATTGCCATTTCGCCCGCCAGTCGAAGAACGCGGAGGTCGAGCGGACCTAGAGGGCAATGACATAGGCAATGGGGAGAGAGATCTAGGGCGTTCACGAGCACGTGGTGAGGTTTCAGGCGATGGCGTGAACGGTTGATCTGGTCGCGGATTAAAACGTGAATCTACGTCCTCACGATTTCGATAATGTCTGTCATTAGTATTACCACCAGCGTTTGCGGCGTCTGTTCCAGCTCCCGGGCGATAATGACGATCATTATAAGACATCGTATTTGCCTTTGAAGGAGGGACAATTTGCACATCTGTCACATGGTCATGGTCAATTGGCTGAGCGCGCCTAGAGTGTCGAGAAGGTTCCTGAGACTGAGAATGGGAGTGATCAGATCGTCGTGGACTGGAAGATTTGGCTCTCAAGAACGAATCACTACCGCGACGACAACGAGCGCTGTCGCCACGGAAATGCCTACTAGGTGAAGAGGAAGAAGAGTTGCTCACGGGACGAGTCCAGGTCGATTCATGGGTCCGCACGTTGTAGTAGTAGGTTCCTCCTGAACCACTTCGCGCTTCACGAGCTTCCCAGCCACGTGGTAGAGGTAGAAGCTCATTCCCTGAAGTAAGACCTTTTCCATTACCTGTAGTAGATGCGGTCGATGTCGAGGTTCCATGAATCTTGCTGTTGTGAGACTCACTACGACCTGTCGTCCTCGCTTGTGCCGACATTGCTGTTGCCTCAACTATAGAAGGATGAGAAGGGGGCAGGAAAGGCACATTTGTCACGACTGGTTTCGGAGGGAGAGCATGGGTTATCCTTGGAGCTAAAGTCGGCTGCGGAGAACGACGACCAGTGCTGCTGTTCCTACGAGGCGTTCCTGTTTTCGAGGACGGTATCTGTGGAGGCAATGAATCTTCCCGTTGAAGGCTGCTCGGAGTCGCAGTCGAAGGTACATCGTCGGCGCCTACGGAACGTGGCGCGATATTCATTTCGCAATTTGCAACTCCTGCAGTGGGTTCTGTCTGCTCTTCCTGCCGATACAAATAGATATCCTGCACTTCCTCTTCGTCGCCGAGCGAAACCGCGTCTTCAGTATCGTCGTTGTCGCCCGCAGCAAGGCGAGCATCAGTGGCACCATTTTCTTTGGCGTCCTGATTTTTGCTTTCTTCATCTTCTGCACCCCAATCCAAAACGTCATTCTCTTCCTCCATGGTGGTTATCGTCGAGGGAAAAAGATGAAAGGAAGTATAAGAACAGAAAGACTCTTTGTGGGAAGTTTGACGCTATTTCAATTTAAGCTCCGCTTAAAACCACTCCATTCAACCGAATCGACCGTGACTGACGACAT